GTCGTTTCAGTGTAATTATAATTCGTTTCGGTTGTACATAAGATACAGCAAGGTTATTCCAGACGGCCGATGCAAACATCCCAAAGAATGCGACAGCCAGCATCGCTCTCCGGTCAGTGGCGGGAGGCGGAGCAGCTGGCGGCCGGACGTAGTTTTGTTTTCTGACTTTCTCCCATCCTAAAGACGTATTGACTCAAAGAACGCGGAAAGAGGAGGGACTTAAACCACTCACGGGCCCGAATATTCCAGGAGACTTGGTCTTCGAAACTGTAAACAACTTCTTCAACAACTTCACACCCAACCCAATAGATCACAACCATAAAAACCAAAACTTGCTGTCAAAATCAACGGCTCAGACCATTTCAATTCCCTTTAACCTTTTGACTTTGGGAGTGGGGGGTTAGTAAACTACAATTTTTTTTTTTTTTTGGCTCTGACCTTCTCGACCTAATGATTGTGTCATTCTTGATATGTATACTCCTCAATTCTTCGGTTTGGGTTAGATTCCCTGCCTCCGATTTATAATTTGTTCAAAAAAAAAAAATTACAATGTTTTTGTTGGCGAAAAAAGAAAAATTTTTTTTTTTGTATTTTATTAACAAGAAAAAAAGGGGGGAGGGGTGGAATTGATTGGTATTTTCGTTTTTAAAATAGTTGGTCGGTAGTTGGTACTTGGTAGTTGTGGTATGACCTCTGACCAATCAACGAATTTTAATATTTTTTAGAAAACAAAACCTTCAAAATAAAGCTTTTAGTGTTATTTTTCTTTGTTTCTTACCCAAATTATGTACATCACCCTTTCTACTCTACTCAAAGATTAATAATCACCCTCAACATTTTTACTAATAAATAATTCTTTCTAGTTTTTGATATGGGCAAATTAGTTCCTTATTTCATGAATGACATCATTTGATGTTATCTCTCTGTTACATTTTCATTTTGTTTTTTTTTTTTAATTGTTACCACCTTCATTTTTGCCATTATTTTTTTTTTTCTAACTTGGAAATTCTCTCTCTCTCTATACTCTTCTTTTTCTTTTTCCCTTTTTATTAAAGGATAAATAGTCTCAACTTATAGTTTAAATTAATTTTAAAATCAAAGTAAAAAAATCCTATAAAGTATTTTTAGGTAAATTTTGTAGTTCAAATCTTTAGTAATGGAGAATTTTAATTGCATCTTAGATTAAGAAAGTCATGATGAAATTATGATGTCACTGTAAAGTATGGGATTAATTTGCCTAAATTGACTACTGAAAAGGATTATTTGGTGAAAATGTTGAGGGAGTGATAGTGAAGTGAGTGGAGTGAAAAGCTCTTATTTACGTAATTTTCCTTTTTATTACCTATATTTTTGCATCAAATTAATTCAGTCTTAAGAAGATAGACTTTCGTATAATTTAAGGCCAATAATCCCAAAAATACCGTTACTTTAAAATTTAAATTTTATTAACGAACTACTATTTCTTTTATATTTTAAGTATATGTTAGATGGTAAAAAAATTAAAATGATTAATTGATGATAATATATGATTTTTATTATTAATTTTTAATTTAAGAGTGAGTGTGGGACATTTAAATCGATAAATATATTCATTTAATGTCATATAAACATTACATTATAAGATTTATAATGAAATTTCTTTGTTAAAGGATGGAAACTAGTAAAAAAATTAGCACTTTTTTTTTCAAAATTCTTCTTCACGCAAGGTTAGAGACAATAACAAGATACTTTAGTAGTACTCAAATTCAATATCTTTTATGAGGTCTTTGGTGTTCGGTTAAGGCCTAAATGTAAGGCTTTTATTTTCGTATTAGTGGTTCTTAATTTCTTTTTTTGAACAAATTGTCAAGGGACGAACTCGAAACCTGCTCATGGAAGAGGGAGAATGCATTTCAAGCTGACAAAGTGCCAGTTGGTCAGGTGCTCCTGATTCTTAATTTTTATTTAATTGTGTAGAAATTATAATTATTAAAGAATATATAGTTTTAATATTTAAAAACAAATTCAATTTTATTTTTATTTTCATAGTTGATTAAGAAATACTAATTACATCAACCAAACATAAGATAATTTAAGAATATTACTAGTAGTCGTAGGTTTTTTTACTGTTGAAATAGTAGTGTCTTTTTTTTTTTTAATAAGGATAAACGCAAAAGGGCATTGCTTACCTTTTGAACAAAAATGGCTTTTAACGGGGAAAAAAACCAAAACAGAACAAAATCCCTGTTCATAAATTTTTTTAGTTGTTTCAAAAAACCCCATCATCATTAATCCAAGTCCTAAATCTACTAAAAAAGTTTTGTGGAACAAGGAATTGGAAGGGGTAGTGGATGGGATAACCGGGAACCCTCTGAATGTTTGTTTTTGAGGCTAATAATTTTTAAATAAATATTGTATATACTTTAATTCATAAATTTTATGTTATTTTTATAATTACCTTAAAATAGATAAAATTCTATCAAATAAATCACGTGATCATCTTTACTTTGTTACCCTATTCTCGTTATCTCAATTCTTTTGTCTTGACAAGTCTAAGTGAATTACGTTTATCCGAACATAGCATTGATAAAGATTAGATAACAGAGTAAAGAAGACCATGTGACCTGTGTGTGATGCGATTTTGTTAATTTATAACCAATTACACTAATAATGTGAAATTTATGAGTTAAAGTATATAGAATGTGTGTTGAGAGACTAATGATCTTAAAAATAGATAATAAGAGAGATTTTAAAAAATATTAAGTCATAGTAGATAGGCTTAATATCAAAGAGTTGTTTTTCATCAAGTAATAATTTTAGTTATAATTGAACATGATTTGGTTTTGACCACAATGGGACCTTAACTAACTTTTTGTTATTGAATTTTAGAAACCGTTATTAAAATTAAAAAAACTTAGGTTTTGTTGATTTTGATTAATTTTTTAAACATAACAATTTGAATCGGTTTTGATTTTAATTGAAAATTTATTTCTATATTTTTTAATAAAATTTTTAAATTTCTTAATTGTTATTTTATTAAATTTAATAATTAAAAAATTAAAATTTTCATAAATAAATAAATAAATTGGTGAAAAATTACGAGAAAAACTAAAAACACTCTAAAAACTATTAAAAAATTAATAGAAAAAGTTTTTGCACTGTATCTAATTATACTTACCTTAGTAGTTGGTTTTTCAAATTTTAAACTTAATCATCAAAATTTGAATCATTTAAAATTAGTTTGATTCAAAATTTAACTAAAAAATTTAAAATTCAGTTAAATTTAACCTATTATTAATTTAAATTATGCAATATAATGTTGAACAATTTAACACTTCTTAATACACCGAAAATTTTATAGGATACCGTAACGTCCATGTAATTCATTGCTTATAAATTTCTTTCATTAATTAATTAATCAATAACGCCCCATCATCATCATCCGTCACTATAAACAAATCGACTCTTTGGTTAAATACTATTCATTATTAAAAATAATCATTTCAAAGGTAATAATAATATTCAATCATTCGGAAATTTTCAAAAGGCCCAGTTTTTCTCCTCTGACCCCGCGTTTTCTCTTCCTTACGGCCAACGCCAGCTCCCTCCTGACCCTTACCTGCCTCCTCCACCACCGTCGCCGTCCCCGAGAAACCCATCTTTTTCACTCAAACAAAGAGAAATCCCGAGCCTCAGTGTCCTGCCTTTTCTACTTCCTTTGCCTTTTGATTTCTGGGTTTTTGTTTTTGTTTCCCTTATGGGAAACTGTAACGCCTGCGTTAGACCAGAGGTCGCCGCCGATGACACGGAGCCGGCGCAAGCGAATCATGGGAAGAAGAAGACCAAGGAAAGAAAGTCCAACCCGTACGCCGAACAAATTCCCTCACCAGCTCCGATCCGTGTTCTCAAAGACGTAATTCCACTCAGCCACCGGACTCGAATCGGCGATAAGTACATCCTGGGCCGTGAGCTCGGCCGGGGCGAGTTCGGCATCACCTATCTCTGCACAGACCGAGAAAACCGTGAAGCTCTCGCTTGCAAATCAATTTCCAAGCGTAAATTGAGGACCGCCGTCGACATAGAGGACGTCCGCCGCGAGGTCGCGATACTGTCAACGTTACCTGAGCACCCAAATATTGTGAAACTTAAAGCGACATATGAGGATAACGAAAACGTTCACTTGGTGATGGAGCTGTGCGAGGGAGGAGAGCTCTTTGACAGGATTGTGGCCAGGGGTCATTACAGTGAGCGAGCGGCGGCGGGTGTGGCGAGGACGGTGGCTGAGGTTGTGAAGATGTGCCACGAGAATGGAGTTATGCATAGAGACTTGAAGCCGGAGAACTTTTTGTTCGCTAATAAGAAGGAGCATTCGCCGTTGAAGGTGATTGACTTCGGTTTGTCTGTGTTCTTCAAGCCTGGTATGTATTGGGGGGGGGGGGGGTTGGTTGATTTTGTGTATTATGTCTTTGCCCTTTTGAGGATTATTAGTGGGTTTGGGTTTGAAATTGGAGTTTCCTTTTACAGGGGAGAGATTTTCAGAGATCGTGGGGAGTCCATATTATATGGCACCGGAAGTGCTGAAGCGAAATTACGGCCCGGAGGTTGATATTTGGAGTGCCGGAGTAATACTTTACATTCTATTATGTGGTGTTCCACCATTTTGGGCAGGTTAGCTGGAAATTCCCAATCTCTATTCATGGTGCCTCTAGTCGTACTGATTCGAGGAGGGAGGGACTAAAAGGGGGTGGTTGGTTCCTAATTTTCTTTGCTTTTTGGGCAGAGACCGAGCAGGGTGTGGCTCTAGCAATTTTGAGAGGGGTGATTGATTTCAAGAGGGAACCATGGCCTCAGATCTCAGAAAGCGCCAAGAGTCTTGTTCGGCAGATGTTGGAGCCAGATCCCAAAAGGAGATTGACTGCTCACCAGGTGCTTGGTAAGTGCTTTTACTAGTTTTTTTGATGTTGCTGATTCTTTTTTTAACAGGGTAATATGTTGGGGACTCCAACATGAGTCGGGTTGTGTTGGGTTAAGAACTGTTGGAATTTTATCCCAAATAAAATTGTTTGATCAAGCCGAAGATAAAATCTAACACAAGAATTTAATGCTAAAAATTGAATTCAAAAAATAAAGACATATCCGAACAAGGAGCATCAACATGCTCTACCCAAGGGTTCTTGCTAATTTTATTTAACATGGGTAAATAAGTTGGGGATTTTGGGGAAAAGGGAATGGAGAGAACTCTAACATGTCTTTTACATCAAACAAAATTTACTTTATCAAATCAAAGCGTAAAATCTAACACAAGAATTTAAAATTTCAAACTTTAAAAAATAAGACAAATCTGAAGAAAAATCCATATGGAAGAGCATCCACATACTCTAGCCGAGGGTTCCTGATGTAGCTGATTGTCAAGTTGGTAAGTTCATGAGTTGGTATGATATGAACATTGTATAGCTGGAGACATTTGAATTGTTGATTAGTGACAATAATAAGTTTTGCAAGTAGGATATGGGATGGGATTGATAATGACAAAAACCAAAAGTGCATCGGTGCCCACATACTCCAGCTGTCTCCAGTTAATTTCACTCCCCCACCCCCGTCTTTATATACCCCAACTCCTTACAAGACTCTGCACACCGCCACCGGCACCGAAAATGTCACCGATCTATTCTTTGTTTTCTGTCCTCTTGTTCCCGATCTTGGTTTCCGGGGATGGCGGATCCCCAAAACCCCAAGTTCAAACCTTGAACATCCAGAGACCTGAATACATCAACCCAAAGTTGCCTCCGAGAACCCTTTCCCCCTCTAAGAAATTTGAAGGCTCTTCCAACCTTGTCGACCTTCGATACCACATGGGTCCCGTCCTTTCCTCCTCCCCCATCAACATCTACCTAATTTGGTATGGCCGCTGGACTCCAGCACAGAAACTCCTCATCAAGGACTTCCTCACCTCCATTTCCCCTGACGCGGCAGCTCCCTCCCCTTCCGTCTCCGAGTGGTGGCGCATCGTCTCCCTCTACACTGACCAGACCGGCGCTAATGTTTCACGCAGCATCGTCATAGCCAAGGAGTACACTGACGCTCGTTACTCTCATGGGTCCCACCTCACGCGCCTTTCGATCCAGCAAGTGATCGCCAGCTCTGTTAAATCTGCGCCGTTTCCGGTTGACCACAAGAACGGAATCTACCTCGTCCTCACCTCGCAAGACGTGACAATGCAAGATTTCTGTCGCGCCGTCTGCGGTTTCCATTACTTCACATTCCCTTCAATGGTCGGCTACACTCTCCCCTACGCTTGGGTCGGCAACTCTGGGAAGCAGTGTCCCGAGGTCTGTGCCTACCCATTCGCCGTACCAGGGTACATGGGTGGGGGCGGTCCGGGAGCACTGCTGCCTCCAAATAGAGACGTGGGTGTGGATGGGATGATCAGCGTCATTGCCCACGAGTTGGCGGAGCTATCATCTAATCCGCTAGTAAACGCATGGTACGCCGGCGAGGACCCCACTGCGCCGACGGAGATAGGTGATCTATGTGAGGGCTTGTACGGAACCGGTGGCGGTGGTGGGTATATTGGGCAGGTGATGAGTGACAAGAAAGGTAGGACCTTTAACATGAATGGTAAGAATGGGAGGAAGTTCTTGGTGCAGTGGGTCTGGAGTCCGGCGTTGAAGGCTTGTGCTGGTCCAAATGCTTTGGACTAAATTTTTTTTTTTCTAGTTTCTTTGTTTGTTCAGAACAAAGATTCTTTTCTCATGAATCTGTTTTTTGATAAAATCATTTGGGTTTGAGCCGAGAGCTGATGTTTGCTTCAAGAAAGAAGGGAGGAATTGCAGGATGTGAAATTTTTTTTAACTATTTTGGTCAATTATGCAGTATCTGTTATATAGTTTAGATGTATAAATATTGAAGTGCTGTTTTTTCAATATGATATTTATCTCTTGTACCGGAAAAATGATTTTTGTTTCTATTTATATAAAATTTCTTTAGTTCAATAAATTCTTCATTTTGAGGATATTTATACTACTACATTATTGTTCCCCTTTTTCAAGTTAGGAGAATGAGTTTCTAGATTGAAAAAATGGAGAGGTCTAAGTCTAACAGACCTCTTTTGGGCACCCGAAAGGAACAAAATAATAATAACAATAATAATAATAATTATTACTATTATTATAATAATGGCGTATACTGTTTTATAGTCCGGATTGTTCCGGACAATAAAACAGAGACCCTTAGTTATTTTGACTCTCTTTGATCAAAAGGTTAGTGTTTTATAGTCGGAACTGTAAAATATATTTTTATAATAATAATTATTATAATAATATGTTTTTAACATCTATTCTACATTTTTCATAATGCTGACAAAACCATGTATGGTGTATGGTGTTCATTGAAATTCCTTGATGATAATTATGATAATGACTAATCCAATGGCTACTCTGTATTTTTGAGAAGTTGGGGAATTTTTCTAATATTAGGATCGCAGGATTGAGTTTTGCTTTTCAAAAACATCAAAGAAGATGATGTGGGTTCTTTCTTATTGCTTTGGATGAGAAACTGTTGTTGAGTTGAGGCAATTGTTTTTGTCAGTCTTCCTTTGAGCTACTTGTTCTGTTCAACTTCTGAACTGCCAGTATTGCTATGGCTATCTTAAGTTGATTCAGTCACGTGATTGCCTCCTAGTTTAATGCCCTTGCTCAGATGCTAACAAAAAAAGCTAGTTAAGATAGAAAATGAAATTTGCCTGAGAGAATCTGAAAATCAGACAAGATGAAATCTAGGATTTCTTCTTTTCTGTGTTGCCTACCTAGGCAGATATTGTCAATTCACAAGATTATGTTTTCTCACATTCTGTGTGCCCTATGGATGAGGTTATTTTCACAATGTGGTATGTTGGGTTGGATCTCTCAGAAAAGGTATTGGGTGAAGCTTCCACTTGCCAAAATATGTACCTTTTTGTGGCCTTCTGGTAATAGAGCTATTTAAGTGCTTGTGTAACTGAGTTGAGCAATGAATTTAGATCTTTTTTCTTTCTACCAATGAGAATGTGGAGTTAGTGTACTGTCGAGGCCTTGGATGTTGGATGCTTCTAATAATATGGCTTTGAGCACCATTTTCGCTTTATGATAGAACTGCAGAAGCCAGACGTAGAAATGAGAAGGAGATTGCAAGTGCTTAATATTCATATCAGTTCTTATAATAACCATTTCTCTTGCAGCTGTCATTCTCTTATTGAATTTGAACTACGAAATGAGAGTGTGTGATGGGCATAGAAGATAGTATGAGAAACACTTTTTTGCTTACTGTCACTTGCTCAATATTGTTTGACCTTTCATTTTTACGCATAAACCATGCTTTTCAATCAGAAGCATAATTGTATTGAGAGCATTGAGTTTCCCTAGGACTCATTTCATTTTATTTCTAGAAATCATTCTTTCATTTTTACACTATTTTCTTCTTTCCCTTTTTGAATTGGTTGAGTTAATTGTTGCTCTTGTTATATCCTCCTTTTTCTATCTAGAACATCCATGGTTACAGAATGCAAAGAAGGCTCCAAATGTTCCCTTAGGGGATATAGTGAGGACACGTCTCAAGCAGTTTTCTGTGATGAATAGATTCAAAAAGAAAGCTCTACGGGTACACATTCTTTTGGTTATGTTTAGTTGTGGATTCATAATCCAACAATTATTGAACTGTTGTGCAATTGGCGCCTAATTGGTGGTAATTTGGTTTCATTCAATCAAATGTTGCAGGTAATTGCAGAGCACTTATCAGTTGAAGAGGTGGAAGTTATAAGAGATATGTTTACATTGATGGACACTGACAATGATGGGAAAGTAACGTATGATGAACTGAAAGCTGGGCTTCGGAAGGTCGGATCACAATTGGGTGAACCAGAGATAAAGTTGTTGATGGAAGTGGTAAATGACTGAATTCAAACAACACTCATTTGGTCATCTATCTTGTTTTTGTCTAGGTTATAAATTCCCTTTAGTTAGAGATATAACTCAAAGTTTTTAATATTTATATTACTGATGCTGTGCAAACAAAAGTTCAACAAAATGCTCTTGCTCAATGATTTGAAATCCTATTTACATGTTTATGAACTGGTTTTATTGATTTATAAATTACCCTGTGCTTGTAGTGAAAAATTTTAGTTTGATCTGTAGAATTTCACAAAATTCTCTATGGACTTAAAATCACTACTTATCTAGGTTCTACCATGTTTTTGTGGTGTAGTTATGTACCTCTTGAGTTTTGTAACTGACTAACTATTGGCTTTGGAATTTTATTTAGGCTGATGTTGATGGAAACGGAGTACTGGACTATGGAGAATTTGTAGCAGTGACAATACACTTGCAGAAGATGGAAAATGATGAACATTTTCGCAGAGCATTTATGTTTTTTGACACTGATGGAAGTGGATTCATTGAGCTGGATGAATTACGGGAGGCCTTAGCTGATGAATCAGGGGAAACTGATATTGATATAGTAAATGATATCATGCGTGAAGTTGACAATGACAAGGTATTACTTTCAAACTCTTATCTTCTCTTACTATTACCAATATTCAGGCCCCTCCCCTTCTCTGTCATAAAAGATCCTTTTCTTTTTGGAAAAATGTAATATCACATTCAAGGTGCACTTAGTGGAATATAGTATATATAACTCTAGGTGGTAACTGGTAACTACTGAAGAATTTGTCAAACTAGTATCTTTGTAAAAGAGTTCCCATTTAAGATGAAAATTTAAGTAGTTTCTATGTTGTATTTTCTTCAATTTTCTTTTTTGGATTTTCATGATCTTTTCTAAACAATTGCTCCTTCTGTTTTCTGTTTAACTCTATTTTCAGGATGGGCGTATCAGTTATGATGAGTTTGTTGCCATGATGAAAGCTGGCACAGATTGGAGAAAGGCGTCTCGACAGTATTCAAGAGAGAGGTTCAAGAGTTTGAGCCTTAACCTGATGAAAGATGGTTCTCTGCATCTCCATGATGCAGTTACAGGCCAATCCATAGCTGTATAATCTGCATGGTTCATGATCTTGCTTTTTTTCCACCCACCATCCGCTTCTCACCTCTTGTTGATAAAACAGTTTATACATGAAAAGTAAGGCATTAATGGCTTCACAGAGTGTTGCATTCAGGTTCATGAACAGGCTTTTAAAGCCAAGCAAAATATTCTTTGATCATCAATGTTCATATCAGCCGGTTTTTGGGTGGCCTTTTGGTTGCAATCGAAGTGTGAATCAGAGGCTGCTTATCTGTCAGAATTGTTAGCTGTTGGTAGATATGGATACACTCCTCTTGTATGTATAACTATTTTTGGTGTCATTGTGTTTGATGATTTTACTTAAATTAGTATTTGTACTGCTGTATTTTTGTTTAGCAGAATCTATTTTTAGGGTTTGTTTATGGGAATTGTAAGCTTTGAAGAAGAAATTCTAATTAATGTGTGTTTCTGCATCTATTTAAATAAACCCCATATTCAATAGTTTCCTATTTTTCATCCTTGGTTTTAGGAAATTAGGAAAGGAAATACACAGAATCACAGGACATGCTGGATGGTGTTAATTACAAAAAGGGCAGTAATATCGGAATAAATATTCTTATAATAAGTTTTATATAATTTTTATGTATTATTAAATTTGTAAATGTATTTAATATTATATGCCTTAAATGAATAAAAAAGGTTAAAAATTTAAATTAATAAGTTGTATAAAATAATTAATTTTTTTTTGAATATTTTAGTCATGAGTCGACTCGAACTGTTGTCCTTAAAAAAAAAACATGAACCTTAAAAAAAAAACATGAACCTTACAAGAGTGATTAGAGCCACTTGACCTACATGACCAAATTCATATAAAATAATTAACTCTTAATTATTTTTTCCACATAAAATGCTATTTTACAATTTGACTTATTTGAACTACAAAATATGATGGAAGGATGAGCATGCATCCTCCATCTATGGTTAAATTAAGTGTAATTTGCAATTGCACGTCAGCCATTAGATAGGGATTATCTTCTCATTTAACAATTTATGTTTTGCAATTATGTTAAATTGCTTGGTAAATAAAGGGATGTGTGTGTGTGTTTTTTTTATATTAGTTACACAATAAAAAATAATTTTTTTTCATCTTATCTCACCTCACCAAATATTTTGTCACTCAAATTAAAAATTTTTTATTTTTAATAAAAAAATACTACTAAATTTCTTAAGTTCGTTGACAATAAATGAACGGACGTTTAAAGTCACGGTTCAAATGCAGCAAATAGGCATAATTTTGATCTAATTCGTACATGCCATTCAAACCTCCTCTTCATGATGCGTTTGGTGGGCATAAAATCCACTAGAAACCGGTGAGTTAGGTTGAATTGGATAGCAACTTTTGCCAGTGTAATTATGTCATAATGGGTCCACTATAATGCCTCTATGCCGAAGTAAATCTTCATTTAAGCCTACTGCGCAATAGCAGTCCAAGAACAGGGTACCAGACCATATCAACGAGGGACAGAGCAAGAAACTTAAGTTAAAGGGATCTTGTATAGTTACATTATAAAGGTGTAATAAATATATATTTTTATAATTAATATATATATAAAATAATAAAAATTAATTTAAATTTAATTAATTAATTAATTAAAATTGCCCACATAACAATAATATTAAAATAAAAGTAAATTTTTATTATTTTTTGCATAAATTAATTGTAAAAAGATGCATTTATAATTAGGGCATATATTAGACAAACCATTATATTAATTGTTAATTTTATGTAAGTACTATTTAACTTATGAATGTAAAACTTTAAATTAATTAGATATATTTAGCTTTATCAAGAAAATTAGATATATTTAGTTATTTTTAAATGATATATAAACTCTTAAATAAATGGTATAAAAATATAATTTATTTTTTTGAACAGTGACCTATATCAAAACAACTTTAAATTTAAAATGTATGATTTATATAAATAAAATAAATTCAACTATTATTTTCATTTAATATAAATTATACAAAAAAGTTATATATAATTAATGTAAAAACTTATATCAATATAATTAACTAGATTTTAACTATTTTTTAATTTTTTTTCTTACCTAAACCAAACTATTATATCTTAAAAATTAATCACAAAAAGAGAAATGATATCTTTATCTAAGTCCTAATTATTTTCTTTATATTTGAAATGGTCCCAATAACTCAAAAACTCAAAAAACAAAATTTTGTAAAAAATAAAAATTAATGTACCGTATTTAAAATTTTTCAAAAGCTGAGGGGGCGGCTCGCATCCTTCTTTGTCCTACGCTGGCTCCGTCTCTGGTACCAACTTATACACCAGGGGACTTTAATTCCTTTCCATGAGACCAACTAGATGGACTGTACATGGAGAATATACACATGGAAGATATCTCTTCAGAGCAAGAGAAGGATGTCTGTCGCCTTAGGAAACATTGGGGAACTGTCCATTATTCCATCAATCACTTGCCTTCTCTGAACTTTTTCAACAATAGGTCTGCAATCGTGCAAGGAAATTTGACCATCTATTAAGTAGATGGAAAATATGTTTTTCAATTCAAATTAAACAAAAAGAAATGCAGTAGGAATCTCAAAATACTCAAATATCCTTAATAATTTTTTCATTTTTGTATTTTGATTTGTTAAAAGTATTTTTTTATATATTTTCAAAGTTCAAGATGCAATTTGTATTAAAAAATTAATATCTAATTGTTGTAATCTTAATTTTTAAAAATAATTTGGGGATTTTGCAGTTCATATTTTATATTGCATGAGCTACAAAATCAAGATCATTACTCATTAGATGTGTGGCAACCCTACATTTAGGGATTTATTCTCAATTAAGGATGTAAATTGTACATTGTAGATTGCATAAGGCATTTTTGATAACTATAAACATATTATATTTCTAATTAAAAAATAAAATTAAGAAAAATTAAGATATTCAGGTAATTAAAATATCAAGAATAATAATGAAAAAAATTAAAATTCCTTTAATGAGTTAGTAAATAAAAAAATATTAAAAGTATTTGAACAATTTCATATAAAGTTCTGGTATTTAATATGCTAAAATGTTTTGATTTTTACTTTTCTCTTAGTAGGACTTGTTTGGTTAGTGGGTTGATAAAATTATTAAGAAAATACTATATGAAAAAGTTAGAAAGTATTGTACTTGTTAAGTTTTGTAATGAAATTTTGTTGGATTATTATTATTATTATTATTATTTTGGATCTTAATTGCATAACGGGAGGTAACTATCTCTCATCTCTTATCCCATTCTACCTGCATATTATACAACTCAAACTCAGGATTTTTTATTTTTAAAGGAAATAAATGACCACTGAATTACTTAAATCATTGGTGAAATTTTGTTAGATTATTAATTTTATTTTATTTGATAAAAAATTGATATAAAGAAAATTAATAGAAAAAGTTATTAAATGGCTAACATAGAATAAGTTATAGGAAATTTTTTCCTTTTAAAATAGGTGAAAAAAAATTTTACAGGTTAAGAATTGTATTAAAAAAATAAATATTTAAAATATTATTTTTATTATTTTTAATTATAATATTAATCTGAGAAAGTTTGTGTAAATAATTTTACAAGTGAAAAAGTGTAGAAAAATTTAAGGGTAAAGGTGATAACCGAACACCCCCTTAAAAAATTAAAAGAACTTCAAAAGCGGCCCATTAGCAGTCATCCCAAAGCCCAAAAATACAAATTAGTTAGTTAAGAGCACGTTATTCATTGGGTCCCACACGATATTACTCGGATTTCATTATTATTATTATTATTTATTATAAAATAAAATCTCCATCTTCTACCTTCCAACTTTCCCAATAACCGCCGGGTCCTCCTCCGCTCGGCCCTCTCTCCCTCCTTTCTTTCCCGTCAACCCTCCACCGCCGCCATCTCCACAGCATCCATTAGATGACCACGACGAGACGGAAAAACCAACGGTAGGGTATTTAGGCAATACTTTTTATGATGGGTGTCGACTACTATAACATACTCAAAGTGAACCGCCAGGCGACGGAGGAGGATCTGAAGAAGTCGTACAAGAGGCTGGCCATGATATGGCACCCCGACAAGAACCCTTCCAACAAGAGACCCGAAGCTGAGGCCAAATTCAAGCTGATTTCAGAGGCCTACGACGTCCTCTCCGACCCTCAGAAGCGCCAGATCTACGATCTCTACGGCGAGGAGGCGCTCAAATCTGGACAATTCCCACCCTCTACATCGTCCCCGTCTATGGCATCCACGTCGTCTTCGTATCCGCGCCATGGGCATTACAACCAGAGGCAGCCCAACCAGTCTTTTCGGTTCAATCCGAGAGACGCGGATGATATTTTTGAGGAGCTTTTTGGATCGGAGGCCAATGGAGGGGGTGGAGGCGCAAGTTCGAGGGTAAATAGAGGGTTTAGTAGGGCGAACGGTAACTATGGTGGTGCTGGTTATGGAGAGATGAGGAAGGCGACTCCTGTGGAAAATGTGTTACCATGCAGCTTGGAGGAGCTCTTCAAAGGTACCAAGAAGAAGATGAGGATTTGCCGGGAAATTTGTGATGCTTCTGGGTATGCTTTCTCCTTGATTGTTTTCATTTTTATGAAAATCAGTTTCCTTTTGATATCTTGAAATTATTTGAACTTTTGAAGAATTAGTTAAAATCATTAATGCCATTAGTTTTCCCTTCCAATTCTTTAGGAAGTAAATGGAATTATTGGGAAGAGAAATTTTGCTCGATGGTATAATGTGTGCTGAGAAAACAGTGTCACTGAAAATGGCATTTTTGTTGATGGGGTTAGCTGTGTTAAAAGAGGTGATCTTGATATATAAATTTGATTTATTAGGATAAAGTGTGTGGCTTTTGGCTTTTCTGCTTGCTTTCTTGAATTAGTTTTGGTGTTTTTGGGTCAGCTTTAAAGATCGAAACTTTTTAAGGAATGTGTGCGTTAGTCAGCTAGTTTAAGGGTGTGTTTGGGGTTGCAGTGGGGAGCTTTTTCCTGTAGTTTTTAGATATATATATGTTTGATAATTTTTTTTCATACTACTTTTTTCAAAAGCTACATAAAGCGTAACTTTATATATAAAGCCAGAAGCCTCATTTTTTAGCTTTTTGGTTGTAGCTTTCACGAAAAACACATAATATTTAATATAATTACAAAATTACCCATTAAAACCCAACCTTGTTTAATTCAATTGCATTATAATTTATAATATTTTACTTAAAGTTAACCTCCTGTTTATTTAAAAATTTCATAAAAAATTAAAAACTTATTCTGTCCTTTTGAGTTGCTCTCTACCCATCATAAGAAACTTAAAAAACCTAATTTATTAAGAGATAGTAAATGATGCCTATTTTAGTAATTATACATTATACAATATTTTTTAAATTTTAATTAATAATGAATAAAATTTATCATATTTCATTCATAATACTTTTAGGAAATAAATAACCAAACACGAAAATAACTTTTAGTCACAGCTACAACACAGCACAGTTCAGCATAACCACAGCTACAGCCACAGCACCTCATGGCAATTCCAAATGCACCTTAAGTTTGGCTTGTGGAATTTGCAAGTTGGAGAGTTTTTCTTTTTAAGTAGAGATTCTATCATAACAGGCTATTTGTTGTTTAGCATGAAATATAAGTTTGCTTATAATCAAGATTTTCTTTTGTCAGAGAGCATCATGGAGTTCTTTTGCCTGGATTAGGAGTTTTCTCAATGTGGAAAGGATATTGTGTTAGGGTGGTTGGATTGCTACACCAATATGATAGAATATCTCTTTTCAGTATTGTGGTTATTGATGGGAAGTATTGCCAACCTATGCGATGGGATTTAGCCTTTTTTTCTTTTCCCAAGCAAAAATATTTAGGCTCTTACTAGTGTGCTTGACGTGATGCAAAGTTTCTTTTATTTATGCAATAAGGAGTTAAAACTTAACTGAGACAATCACTTCACTGGTTACGTTAGAAGCAAGTGTATGGTTAGAAATATCAGGGACTTCCAAATACATAGGTGATGAGTACCTGAATTGGTCTTGAGATATAATACACTGAATTCTGAGTATATAATTTTAAGTTCCTTTAATGATGGAGACAGGTTTTTCTTAGTTTTCTCCAACCAAAATGTGTTACTTGGTAATGACAGTTGGTTTCTTTTATTAGTATGTCTTAAACTTGGATGATATTCCTTTATACTATTATGGCTGTTTAAACTACTCATCTTTTTTTACTCTTACCATTATATAAATGAAGATAGTAAAAGGGGTGACAAACAAAAATGTAGGTAACAAGGAAAAAGGCTTACTTTTTTGGGAGTAGGGGGAAGGTAAATCAACCTATATAAATGAATGAGTGAGGACCTGGGATATTTAGTCATCAACCCGACAAATGCTGGGGAGAAATTTATCTGACGTAAGGAAAAGAATCAAGTGGTTGTGGGAGAATATTTTTCTATATTTCTTTGTCAATGCAAAACATGTAACTCTTATTGGCTACCTTAGAGATTACAAGCTATACAGGGAGCTTGAATTCTTCTTGTTGGTTAAAAAAACATAGAGATGATGAATTCCTTTGTAGCTTTCTCTTTCCTTTTTGGGTACAGAGCTTTCTCATTCGTTTTAAGATAAAGAAAAGTTTTGAGAACAGGTTTTTCTCCTTTTCCTCCTTTCAATGTCACAAAGCATGCTATTTATTTGTTAGCACATATGTACATAATTCATGCATTCATGCATACGTATGTACATACATATGTACATATATGCTTGTGTGCTGTTGCTCTAGGGTCATATTTGTTCAAATTTTCTATTATTTGTATGAAATTGTCTTTTGTTACCTTGGCTTGGCTTGATTTGTGAGCACTTTCTTGCAGTATCATAAGGACTGTGGAGGAAATATTAATAATTGAAGTAAAACCTGGTTGGAAGAAGGGCACAAAGATTACATTCCCTGAGAAGGGTAACCAGGAGCCTGGTATAATTCCAGCAGATCTTATCTTTGTGATAGAGGAGAAGCCACATGCTCTATATAGGAGGGATGGTAATGATTTGGTGGTCAACCAGGAGTTAACACTGCTGGAAGCCCTTACAGGTAAGACCCTTGACCTGACTACCTTGGATGGAAGGAACCTCATGATCCCTCTAACCGATGTTGTCAAACCTGGGGCCGAGGTGATAGTTCCCAATGAAGGAATGCCAATCTCAAAAGAGCCTGGAAGGAAAGGTAACTTGAGGATCAAGATTGATGTCAAATACCCCTCAAGGCTAACCTCAGAACAAAAATCTGATCTAAAGAGAGTCTTGGGTGGAGTTTCCTGGTAGATTTACATGCTTCAAAAATAGTCAATCTTAAATTAACATTGGTAGATTTTGCATGTAAATAGTGTGAATGCAATTTTGATGCAAAGACTTGGGTGTTTTAGGGTTTTCACATGGAGGGATTGAGTAATGTCCAGTCATTTTATCTTCCTTTTTGGATCTTAACTAGAAGGAATAGGCTTTTGTTCTTCTCCCTATTCGTTAGCCATGCAGGGAACTCAGAGTTCTATTATTACTTTTTGTTTATACATCTATTTTATTTTTTTCCCTGAACTTTTGAGTTTTGCCATGTCAGATAGACATGGTATTAGTCCTTGGATTTGCAATCATTGCAAAGTGATTATGTTACAAATTTACTGTAAATTGAAGTTGGAGTTGCTAGCTCTATTAATATTCTGTCTCCAAAGTGAAGTAATTTTGATTGTTTGCTTTAGAAGTTAATCTTCTGAATATGATGCCCACTTAGCAGGAAAACTGAATGACAGTAATGACCCCCCTGCAAGCTACCATTCATGCTATCTACCATTCTTCCTTTTTTAAAATATTGATCGATCTCATGGCCCAGGAAGTTAGCGTGGTATTAACAATCTAGGTACATCCTGCAGTTGTTTCTCCCTTTTTCTTTTAAAGAATAATCTCATGTGAGCTTCAAGGTTGAACCCTACTCTCTTGACCTTGCATATGTTGTCTGTTGTCTGTTCTCTGTGGAGTTAGAAAGAAAAGAATGAACTCTCATTTTTAACTCTTTACCTTTTTCTGTGGAAGATGAAGCTGCCAGTCTTATTTGTAGTCTATCTACTTACGGATGGACTCTCTCCTACCAAACTTCTTTCAGGCCCAGAGTTTCTCTTCAAAGCCTTGGGCCTCTAGCCTTCTTTTGATTAGTTGATATGGATTAGTTGTTTATAATCTAAATATATATATATATATATATATATTTGTTCAGTTAATTCAAACTGCTAAACTCAAACCTCCATACTAAACACTCCTCAATAGAGTAGGTGGCGAACCCCTTATCATCATCTTCTCAAAATTTGTTCTTCCTCTTCCCCAGGAAAAGCGAACAATAAAGTTTCACAGAGCCATCATTGACAGTGTATTCGTATTTCACAATTCAATTTTTGTATACAGAGAATGGTAATTTGCAGTTTGACATGAGTTAGACTGCAACAAATTGGCTATTAATTTTGAGAAAGAATTCACCTGCAAGGGGCCTATTCCTATTAATGGTTACAGTAGTGTAGTCCACATCAAATTAGATTACACGACATTTTTCTGTTATATCATATTAATTCTTGTAAAAAGAAACGACACTTGATGGTCACTTTTTCAATTATATCTTTCCCCTTTCTAGTCTACTACTATACCTCAATCCTTATCTTCCTCACTTCCCAACAAAAGCTGTGGTCCGCCCTTTTTTTTCCCTTCCCTTTTCTCTTGTTCTTTTGTAATGGGAATTTTTTAATTTATTTTTTTAATGAGATATATTGGAGCAGAAATCTAAACATCTTTTATGAATAAGAAACTTGCACGTTATAAATTGAGCTATGAATTAAGTAATACCACTGATTTGAGTTTGAATGTAACTACAAAGACAAAAGGTATGGCTAAATTTATAGGAAGATATGGGAAAAAGTGAATATTCAGTAACATTCCCAAATGTTATTTTGTGAAGTCTATATATTTGTTCAATCAAATGTACATACTTTCATCATATGTGTAAAGAAACTAGACTTTGTTTTTCAATCACACAATTGATTCCTTCTATTCTACCTTTTTCCCCGAAAGTAACAAAACAGTGTGCTACTTGTTTTGATTTTTTCGCTTTCAACCTATTGACGGAATGATCACCCACCTTTAATTCCATTCAATTTTCGTTTACACCTATTATGTGAAATGGAAGAGTTCTGAGCCACACACTTTGTGTTTACTTTAATTCCATTCAAAAACTAATGCTTCAACTTTGTTTTACCCCTTTTTAAAAAAAATTCATTTAAATCCGCTATATAATTGAAAATAACGTTCTTTTCAGAAAGCGCTCTTCAGTAGTCTCAATAAATAATATCATCGCATCATGCCCAATTCAATTATGCAAGACAAGATTAGGTTTCTCAAGGTACGCTAGTGGAGACCTACCAATCTCATTCTGGGGTTTCTTTAATATCACTTCGTGTGAGGTGAAAGCAGTATCTAAGCACGTTCTTTTGGAAATTTTGGGTTGCCACCAATATCAAACTACTTCAAAAGGCAGGAAAAGGTGTTATTATTTGTTGTATCACATTCCACTAGCCTGCAAAAACAGCCAAATGGTCCACTAAAAAAAAGCTTGTAACCTCTGCTTTCCCCTTTGTTTTTGATCCAATTGGAATCTGCCCTCTCTTACATTTCCCACTCTAAAGAGCTTCTTTATAAGCTCAAAAGTGAAGACTCTGATAAATAATTAGTACTCTACAATTCTAATAATCAAATTTTAACAAATTATTTTAGTTTGGAATCTTCAATCAAATACATCAACTTTTTCATTATTGTCATTGTCAAAAGCTATAAATGGTTTTTTTATTTTTAAAAAATTGGGTATTTTTAATAATTTTTATGTTTTATTGGTTGAATTATAAAGTAAAAATTATTAGATAAATAATAATTTTAATATTAAAAATATATTTTTATTTAATAATTTAAATTATATAATTTAATATAATTTTAATTATACTAACAATATTTTGTTTATATAATTGGATATTATAAAGACAACCTTTTTAATTTCAGCAAAAACCAACTTTTAGTTTTTTACCTCAATAAATTTGTAGGTTTTAGTTCCTCAACTTATATTATAACATTTTTAATTCCTCACCTATATGAATTGAAGAAAGTAACTTTTATTTAATGTAAGATTGTAATGTTTTATCAACTGATTATTAATTAACAGTCAACTAACAGACTATTAATTAACAATCAGTTGATAGACTATTAATGATGACAAGAATAAAGCTAACGAAATTTTAACAGTCAGTTAACGAACGTTATAAATTAACATTAAATAAAGGCTACTTTCTTCAATTCATAAAGGTAATAGGCTATTTTCTTCAATTTGTAAAAATGAGGGACTAAAAGTATCATAATATAAGGTGATGGGTTAAAACTTACAAATTTATTAAAGTAAAGGGCTAAAGTAGGTTTTTGTCTTTAATTTCTTTCTTTACTCAATTCCTCTAACTTAAATGCATAAAATCTTGGTTAAATTCTAGTTTGATCCCTCAATTATTGTATAAATCTTCCATTTGGTCCCTAAATTAAAAAAAATCTCTAATTTGATCCTAATTGTTTACTAATTTAGCCTCAAATTGATTCTTCCATATAAAAATAACTAATATGTCTTATTATTAATATAACACATGATTATTAAGTAATAATTTTCTATCATTAAATAATAGACACATCAATTATTTTTTAATCAAAAAACCAATTTGGAGCTAAATTAATAAACAATAAAAACCCAATCAAAAAATTTTTTTAGTTCAGGGATTAAATTGGGGTTCATATAATAATTAAGGAACTAAATTAAGAGTTTAACTTAAAATCTCTTTTTTTTTTTTTTTTTTTTTTGAAAGCAGACAACAAAACACAAGATCTTCTACTTATACGGAAAGAGAACAGCACTGTCATTGGCATAACTGGGTGTTTCTCAAATCTCATAAATCATCAATCAATCTTCAGTGCTGCAAGCGCACTGGATGAAAAGGCCATGTGATAATGTTCTGTCCTGCATGTGATTCCGTTGGCTAGCATTAAATGCTCCTTTGTATTCTTATCAGTTTCTTTTTCATTTTTATAAGATAATTCAACCATACAATATGAAACAAGTTTACAACTCTTTCTTCTCCCCCCAAATCAAGTATTTAATTTACGAATCATATTTTTAATCACTTGAGAGACTTCTTAGAGACAAGTATGCTTAACATCTTAAAGATGTCTAACATTTTTGGATGTATTAAGGACATGGACTTCCCTAGTGACATATAAGTTCAAGTGGTTCATCATCCTCGAAAATCCAACCCATAAACCACCTAACTCAATTATTTGTTCCTCAGTAATGTTTTTTTATTTCTTTGTTCTTTGTTAATTTTTACACGGATCAAACCGAGTTTAAAGATGTGACTAATCTAATATATCAGTTGTGAAGTAGCTTTCAACCAAAAAAATGGAATTAGGCAAAACTTTAAATAATTAAGTGAAGTTTAGTTTGAGAGGGTCAGATTTTAGTGATAAGGCAGAAGGCCGAATTACTGCAACTCTTCTAAATTCAATAAAATTCTATATATATTACTATGAAAAAAAAATCTTATATGTTCCACTCCTTTAATTTATTTTTAGTAATTTTAATTTTATTTTTTGACTTTTTAAACATATGAACAATAATTAAAATTTTTTTCTTATATAAAATTTTTGTTAAGTATTTTTATTTAATAGAAAATTTTTAAATATTATTTATATAATATATTAAATATAACCTTTTTTTTTATCGATCAGGGTGTTCTATTTGGTTTAGTTAAAGACAAGACATTTACACTGAAATTAAAAAATTCATAAGTAACTTAGTTAACAAATACATGTTTCACCAACGATCTGAGTAATTTAGTGGTAATTTTCTTCCGTTGAAAGTAAGAAGTTTTGAGTTCGAGTCACATGGCATGCAAGTGGGGTGTGATAAGAAATGTGAGATGATTACCTTCCATTGTGCAACCAATATCAAAAAAAAAAAAAAAAACAAATACATACTTCATAACTAAAGATGTAATTAAGTCATAAATTAGAAAGCTTACATTAAAAAAAAAATAAAAAGGTCTTCAATTCTTTACACCTAGTTTAAGATTATTAATTTGTTATAATGTTTAAGGGCTGTTCTAGATAATGAGTAGGGAATAGCAATAGTGAGTAGAAAATGACAATTAAATGGATAGTGGGTCACGAGCGATGAATATTAATTTATATAATTATTTAGTTATATAATGATAAATAGTTATTGTTTGATATAAAATGATTAACAAGAGTATGTTTAAACGTAATTAAATTTATATTTTTTTGTTATTAAAATAATTAATTTAATAATAAATAAATAAAATATATAAGTGCAAATCACACCCAATTTTTTATTTTTAGTAAAGAAAAAATTATTTTTATTTTTAATTAAAGGCAAGAAAAAATTTTATTTACTTTGTTTTAGTTTGCAAATTTTCTTTAAAAATTAATATAGATTTTTTTATGACAAATTAAAGTAAAAATTAGAAACATCATATAATCACTTAATGTTGTAGAGAAAAAAAAAAGTTAAAACTCATTGAAGAATTAGTAGTGATTGTGGATGGTGGGAAAATTGAATAATTAAAATGAATAAATTTTAGCAACAATATTAAATAATTTCAACATACTAGTCGATTGAACTCTAACCATTAAGTAAGGATCACAAATTACTATGTAAAGAATATATTTTGCCAAACACATAAATCTTGATTTATAAAACAAATAATTTTTTAAACACTATCATGCAATAATTTAAATGAAATCATTAAGTATTAATCTCAAACCACTATAATGACATAATTAGTATTCACAATAAAATAATCCATTGATTAAAGGTGATACAGAGTTATTTTTTTTTCTTGTTAATATAAGAAAGAGTTTATTTTTTAACTTATAAATATTTTTTTCATGAAATTAAAAAGTAATGGAAGAAATATTCAATTTTTTAACATTTAATCTTTTCTTTCATAAAATTTTATTAAGAAAGCTCAAGCAATACATTTTTTTTTTTTATAACGAATTGATAATTATTCACTAATGTGAAATTGGTTCACAGAATCCATATCAAGATTGTGGCATATATCTAACTTAACAAGTATAGCACGATAAAGACATATGAAGGAGATTATCAACCTACTACAAACTAGAGCGTCTGTAGACAATGTTGAAATCCTTGCTTTTGTTGGGAACCGTCATATGTGACTATTGTTTCTTCAATGAATATATGTCAATCTATTCCTTAAAACTACCCAAGACTGCATCAAAAAATTAATAAACTAAAGAGATTCAAGTTTATCAAGGTAGGTTATATATTAAAAATACAATTTATTTTATAAAATATTTTTTTATAAACTAAAATTAAATATAAATTTATCAACGATTTAAATAATTTAATAGTTATATTCTTCATTAAAAATAA